TTCCCCAACCAGATATGTAGCCCATACCAGCCGCAAAGAGAGGCCACCGGTCCAGCCTGGGCAGGGGCAGGGTGCTTGAAGACTGGGGCAGGTGCAGGCTGGATAGGGTTTCCAGAGGCTGCACACACACACACATACACACACACGCACACACGCTGCCTGGAGCCTTGGAGCCGGCAGCTCCCTGAGGGTGCAACACTGTGGGGCCCAGCCAGGCCTGCATTCCTGCCCAGAGGCCAGCTCTCCATTTATAGCCCCAGGCAGGCAGGCCGAGGGAGGCGAGAGGGGAGGCCTGACAAGGGTGGATGGAGAAGAGCCCAGGGAGCCCTCCCTCCCCACCTGCCACCACAGGAGCTCCTCACTGTGAAGACTGGAGAACCAAGGCCCAGCGTGAGGTGCGCGCACCCAGAGGCTGCTCAGCCTTGAGCTGGAGGGAGAGGCACCGGGATGCTCCCTCCTATGGGTCCCCTCAGCCCATTGCCATTGGCCTTTCCCAGAACAAGTCCAGCACCCTTGTCCCCATTTGCAAAGAGTTTTGACTCTTTCAGCTTCTAAAGTTACCCTTTTTCCCCTCTCTGCTCTCAGTCCAGCACTAGAACAAGCAAAGGGCACCAGGTCCCAGGGCAGACACACCTCTCCCTGCTCTTTTGGCAAGAGGGATAGGACATGGTGTTGGCAAACCTTTCCCCAAAGATGTGGTGGCACAGCCAGGAGAGTGATCCCAGGCAGGCATGGGTGTGTAACAGCCACCGAGTCCACCCCCAAACTCTTCAAGCAGCAAAACCTTAATAGCAAACAAAATCCCACTTGAAAGTTTAATATAAAAGTGGCAGTGTACCACTAGAGTACATGTGCATTTTAAAACAGTGCTTCCTAATTACCAAAGAAGATGAAGCTGCAAATCAAGTTTAAAACTATCAAAGCAGTTGGGATTTCTAAGCCACAAATGATAATATTAAGTGTATTTGGTAAATTTGAACATACAACATTTACTATTGTAAAGGCACCTTGACAACAGCCCTGAGGTGGTTTTTATGAATGCAAAACACAAAAAGCAAACTTGTAATCTTGTCTCAGCATCCAATTTATTTCTGTGTTTTCTTTGCTTGTTCAGGCTTGAGAAAAATCTAGATTTGCATGTGTAAGTGGCTTGAAGGGCTCCCCTGGAAATCTTAGGGTACTCTTCAATTAAAAAGTTTGATTCATTCATTCAACCAACAAATTTTTGTTGAGGGCCTACTATGTCTCAGGCATTCTGCTGAGGCTCAAATAAGTAGGGGGAGAGATTTATTTCAATCTAAATCACTAACACAACAATTATTTACATTCCTCATTGTGAGTATAAGGCAAATAAAGACTCAAAGTTTTAACAGGTGCCAAATCCCTTTGTAGTACACTATTAGGATACTGCAGTAAACCACGTGTAATTGCTCAACATAAAGAACCATGCCCCAGGCAGATGGGCCTGAGTTTTGCCTGGGAAAAGTGAGTGTGACCCAGCATGTATGTTTAATTGTGTTTATGACTATCCAGTTTAGAAGAAAAACAACTCTCCTCATTAATAACACATCTCAAGAAGTTCAAATATATGCATAAAAGACTCTTAGGCATGAGGCCACCTATTCATTCATTCATTCAACATTTACCAAGTTCCTGCTATCTGACAGCCACTGTGATGGTTTCTGGAAATGCCATCATGAACAAAACATCTCTGCCCCATGGGCCTATGTCAATCAATGAATGAACTAAATAAGATAATTAAAGAGTGGCTGTGCAAATAAGGAAATGAGCAAGGTGATGTCACCTACCTACCTTAGAAAGGATGGTCAGAGACATCCTGAGGAGGCAATTTGTAAGCTGAGGCCTGATGAATGGAGAGGGCCAATCATGAGAAGAGCCCAGGGAGAGGGCTATAAGCAGCAAGTAAAAGGCTCCAAGGCAGGACTCTGCTCAGAGTGCTAACAAACAGGAAAGGAGGTCAGGCTAGGATGGAGTGATCAAAGGGGCTGCTGGTTCCAGATGAAACTGGAGAGATGGGCTGGGGCCAGCTCACATGTATAGGGCCTTGTGGGCCAGGGCAAGTTGATAATATTTTATTGTAAATGCAGTGAGAGGCTCTTAGAGAGTTTGAAGCAGAAAGAGGATGTGTAATCTCATTTAGATTTTTCTGGGATTAATCAGGCTGCTGTGTAGTGGATAGATTATGCTGGGGCAAGAGTAGAAGTAAAGAGAGAACCAAGAGGGTACTGTGGTCATCCAAGCTAGCATGTGGGGGCTTAGCTCAAGATAATGATGCTGGGATGGAGAGCCTTGAGAGGTGTCTTAGAGGTCAAGTGGACAGGTCTTCCACATGCCCAGACCTCCCCTCTGAACTCCAGCCTCATGAATCCCTTGCCTACTCGACCTCTCCACCAGGATGTTGAACACATAATTCAAATTTTGCCCCAGCCTGGACTCTACATCTGCCAACTGCAAAGCTGCTCTTTTCCAGCCCCATGCTTCCAGCAGTCATCCTTAACTCCCCTCTTGTCTCACTGCCCACATCCAATCATGAATAAAGCTTGCTGGTTCCATCTTCAAAATGCATCTGGAATTCAACCACGTTTAGCCATCCGTACTGCGGCCACCCAGATCTGAGCTGTCATCACCACCTACTTGGATTATTGCAATAGCCTTCTAACTGGTCTCCCTGCTTCTGCCATTGCTCTCCAAAACCAACATGCTCCTGTTAAAATGCACATTGGTTGATGACATTCTTCTCTTCTGCTCAAGCCCTCCAGTGGCTTTCCGTCTCAGATACAGATCCTTTGCTCCCTTTTTGACCCCATCTTCCACCACTCTCCCACTTGCTCATTCTACTCCAGGCAAACTATTCTCCTTGTTGCACTTTAGTTCTGACAAACACAGACCTGTCCAAAGACACATGCTCTTCCCTCTACCTGGCTCCAAATATCTGTTTCTGCCCTCCCTTCACTCTGATCTTGGATCAAATGTAATCAGTCCAGAGAGCCTTCCCTGACCACTCCATGTAATGAAATAATTATCACCTTATTCCCTTGCCTTGCTTTATTTTTCTTCATAGAACTTGTAACCTCCTGATAGCACATATTTTCTTTTCTGTTTATTGACTGTCATTCTACCCTACAATGTAAGCACTATGAGAGCAGGGGCTTGATTTTGTTCATTGCTGGTATCACCAACACCTAGACCAGCACCTGGCACATAGTGGATGCTCCCTAATATGTGTTGAATGAATACATGAAAGTGGTGTTATGAGTGAAGAGAGGTGAGCACTTCATGAAGGGGGATCTTTGGCACTTCTATGAGTGGCAGAGAAGTGAAGGCAGGGCTCCAAAGGACCCCTCTATCTGCAGGGATGGCCTGAGGGCCAGTTAGGACCACTTCTAAAAAGCAGTGGGAAAGGCACGAAGCTCTCTCTTGCTTTTATCTGTGGGCTCCAGGAAAAGAGACCCAACAGGGGTCTCTGGTCCAAGGGGCATCTCTAACCAGAGTGCTGATAGGAAGGTGTGGACTAAGGATTCAGGAAGAGGTTGAGAAGCCCGTGGGGTTGGGGTGCTCAGGACTTTCACAGGGATACAGACATCCCCTAGGGTGGATGCCCCCTACCTCTATTCCCAGTCACTCCAGTGGGCCTACTGGGAAGAAACACATCTGGGGCCTCTGCAAGAGTAAACCCTGAGACTCCATGGGCCTCTGTCAGGGCTCGGTGCCCCAATCAGCAGCTAGGAAACCCTAAGGGAGCGCATGGCTGGACTATGACAGCGACAGAAACAAGCTCTCTTGCTAGTACAGCCTTGAACCTTGGACTGAGAGCCTCCACGTCTTTGGCCTCTTTAGATCTACACCACCACCACAGTCACTCCAAGAGACCTCTGTTTTTATCCCCAAATTTTCAAAGTGGGGAAATAGGCTCAGAAGGCGGCAACATGAGTTTTGCAAAATCACACAGGAAACCGTGGAGTCTGGATTTGAACTTAGGTTACTGGTCTTCGAACTCCTCTCTCAGGCTCCACTCGGAAATGGGGCTCTCAAGCCGAGTCTGGGGTTCAAGCTTTGCACAGTCAATTTTCCTGGCGCAGCACTCCGCGAAGCAGAGGCAAGCCCAAAGCACACGTACATTTCTTCCCAGCTGAAGAGGGACCTCGACCTAGACGGGCACTGGACTCCCTGCTGCTGAAACGCACAGGTTGAGGTCTGTAGGAGTTCGCTTCCCCGCCTCCAGGCTGGGGAAGAACCTGAGTTTGGAGAGATTGTACGAACGTCAGCAGCGATCCTCAACTCCTGATAGATGCTGCTGGGTTTCTAAGCTTCTTGGGAAGATGGGCTGGGCCTGTGGGCCTCTGAACGACTCCTGGGGCATAAACTGGCCATGTGACACTGCCACCACGTCCAGTTTGTCTCACGTTCTCCCACTTATACTTTGCATATATTTTTGCGCGTTTCTCTGCTTCTGACTCTAGCTTCCTGTGCTATCTAAATGTCTCTCAACCTCGGGTATATATCTCTCACCCTCTCACTCAGCTCTGAGTGAGTCTCTGCCGGATTGCCATGTGTCTCTCCAGATCTCTCCCGATCTGATTTCTACTCCTACTCTGCTGCTAGTTCCTCCACAAACCAGAGTACAGAAGGGGGCCAAAGTGAGCTAGGAGAGCTAGGAGGTCAGCGCGCGCGGCCAGAGTTTCACGCGGACACGGAGGGGTCTGGTGCAGGGCTGGTTTGGGAAGAGTGCGCACGGGAGCCAAGTGCAGCAGCTTCGGGCTGTCAGCGGCTGCCTTCCCTCCCAGCCTAGGGAGGGGCCGGAGAGCGCGCGCGCGCAAATGTCGAGGGTTAGGGGGCTGGCCAGTCTCCTGCTCCTGCGGCCACCTTGGGGATCACAAGCTCCTCCCCGCTCTGTTTCTATTGGTCTCAAAGGCCCCCGCCCCCAGCCTCCTGCCTGGGCTTGGGGGCCCTTAAGTTACTACCGGATAAATAGCCCCGGGTCCTGCCATAAAGATAGGGGTGGGGAAGCCCCGGAGCCCTGCGGCTGCTTTCCTCACCGCGGGACAGAACAGGGCGCGGTTGGGGACAGTCGGGTGTACATTCAGCTCCCCAGTACTTTGCTATCCTACGGCCGGGGCTTTGAGCAGCAGAAAGTTTCAGGTAACCCCTGCCGACAGGGTCAGGTGAAGCTGGGACTGCGTCGCCCCCCCAACCCCCCGCCGGGATATGGAGCTGCTATCGCCGCCGCTCCGAGACGTAGACTTGACGGGTCCCGACGGTTCTCTCTGCAACTTTGCAACAGCGGACGATTTCTATGATGACCCGTGTTTCGACTCCCCAGACCTACGCTTCTTCGAGGACCTGGACCCGCGCCTCGTGCACGTGGGCGCGCTCCTGAAACCAGAGGAACACTCGCACTTCCCTGCGGCAGTGCACCCGACCCCGGGCGCCCGCGAGGACGAACACGTGCGCGCGCCCAGCGGGCACCACCAAGCTGGCCGTTGTCTACTGTGGGCCTGCAAGGCTTGCAAGCGCAAGACCACTAACGCCGACCGCCGCAAGGCCGCCACCATGCGTGAGCGGCGCCGCCTGAGCAAAGTCAACGAAGCCTTCGAAACGCTCAAGCGCTGTACGTCTAGCAACCCGAATCAGCGGCTACCCAAGGTGGAGATCCTGCGCAACGCCATCCGCTATATCGAAGGCCTGCAGGCGCTGTTGCGCGACCAGGACGCCGCGGCCCCTGGTGCCTCCGCTGCCTTCTATGCGCCTGGCCCGCTGCCCCCGGGCCGCGGTGGTGAGCACTACAGCGGGGACTCGGACGCATCCAGCCCGCGCTCCAACTGCTCTGACGGCATGGTAAGGCCAGGACCTTGGGCTAGAGGAGAAGTAAGGGTAGCTCTTGTTTTATCTGGGACATGTTTCCGAGGGCAGGGAGCTGGTCCTCGAGGTTCAGGGTTGGGCGGGGAACCTTCGCCGGAGTGGACCCCTGTGTCCTGGGCAGCTGTCACTGGGGTGACCTAGTGGTTTTGGGAGCACCTGGGACTGATGTCATCCACCGGTTTGGGAGGAGCTATTAGAACACTGCTGTGCCAACAGGAAGATCCGATTTTTCTCCACTTAACTCTACTTCCAAAATGCAGATTTATGGTGACTGTCAGCCCTCTATTTGGCCTGGCATGCTGCAGACTTCACCTGCCTACCTCTAGCCCCCAACCAGGACAGACACGGGGCCGGATCTCTCTCTAAAACTTAGGAAGTTGGGGAGGAGTTTGCTATAGGTAGTGATGCTCCTGCCCCCGCGGTCCCTAGGCTTGACTCGGTCGCACTTGCCTTTTGCAGATGGACTACAGCGGACCCCCGAGCGGTGCCCGGCGGCGAAACTGCTACGATGGCACCTACTACAGCGAGTCACCCAGTGGTGCGTACTCCACCTCCTTTGCATGTTGCTCTTTGGGCTGTCTTGGCTTTCCTCTATCTAGCAGCGCCACCCTCTCGGCCCCCATCCTGAGAGATGATACAGCTAAGTGTGTCGTTGCCTCTCTTTTTGTCCCGCACTCTCGCTGGATTCTCCCGGACTCTGGCAGGCCCTCAGTTTTCCGTCTGCTACTAAAGGTGGGAGACCTGTCGGCGGCTGAACCCCTGCATACTAACCTATCCCTCCCCGCGCAGAACCCAGGCCCGGGAAGAGTGCTGCGGTGTCGAGCCTTGACTGCCTGTCCAGCATCGTGGAGCGCATCTCCACGGAGAGTCCCGCCGCGCCCGCGCTTCTGCTGGCGGACGCGCCGCCACGGTCGTCTCCCTGCCCCCAAGAGGCGGCCGCCCAAAGCGAGGTCGAGCGTGGCAGCGCCCCCACCCCTTCCCCGGACGCCGCCCCGCAGTGCTCCGCGGGCGCGAACCCCAACCCGATCTACCAGGTGCTCTGAGGGATTGGGCAGCTGCATCCGAGGGCGCAGCTGCTCATCTGACCAAGGGATGGTGCCCCTAGGGTCCCTCGCCCCCAACAAATTGAGCTTAAATGTTAACCCCCGCCTCCCAACCGCGCTTTAAAAGCGTACCCCTCTTTGAGGTAGAAGAAGCGGGCGAACTCATGTGCTATTCTGCCTCTCGCACCCCAGGGCAAGGACACAGTCCTTTTTTTCCACGCAGTACCCTTCCCTGAGACCCGCTGAGTGGCCGTTAGGTGTTCCACCTCGAGCAGAGCTGATCCTTGAGGGGCCAGGCCCTTCTGCAGCTAGCCCCCTACGGGGTAGGGGCGTGGGAACCGTGCAGAATAAGCCCCGCCCCTGGACGCCCGGGTTCCTTCAGGGGGCGTGGCCTCCCCTTTAAGGAGCCCTGGTGATCTCTTTCCCACGGTCTGTGAGGTGCGTCCAGCTCCAAGGGTAGCAAGAGTAACGGTAACCACCCCCACCCCTACCCACTTTCAGGACCACTTTTTGTAATACTTTTGTAATCTATTCCTGTAAATAAGAGTTGCTTTGCCAGAGTAAAAGCCCCTAGGGCTGTATTTATCTCTGAGGTATGGTGTGCGGTGCGACAGAGACTTTATACGTTAATACTGCAGGCGGGCGAGCCGCCGAAGCTCGCTCAGGTGTTCGAAATAAAGACGCTAATTTATAGTGCTGCGGCTCTGGCTTTCCCTCGGGGACGAGGCATGATTTTTGAACCGGGAGGAAAATCTTCAAACTGGGCCAGCTGTTCTGCAGCGACCCCTGTATGCAGCAGACAGATTGCAAGGAGGAAGCCTCGGACCTATGGGAAGAGAGGGAATGCGTGTCTGTCTCCAGTCTGTGCGGAGGTTCCCCGACCACGACGTGCACCACCACACAAGTCAGTGGTACTCATGTCAGGATGTATATTAGAATGATCTGAATAGTTAGGGGAAAAAAAAGGTCCATGCCTGACCTGACCCCCTAGAAATTCTGATTTAATTCAAATACCTGGGACCAGTTTTTCTCCTCAAAATCTCCCCAGGTAATTCTGAAGTGTGTGCAAGGTTGAGAATCACGCCTCTCCATACATACAAAGTGAACCTGTGTGTGGTGTCCAGAGGAGTCACTGGAAAGTAATGGCCCCAGGTGCCACTTGGTATCCTCATGGGTACAGAGGATTGATAAAGTGCTCAGAGCATTATGAGGAAACACTAAAAGAGTGTGATGAGGCCTTATAAGCAGTATGGTATTTACAGTCTTAATAATAAGTGTAATCACAGGGGACAGCAGAGAAGGCCAGACAGGCACAGACGCCTCTACCCAGCCAATAACCCAGCACTTAGAACATCCCTGCACTATCAGAACTCACAGAGGGGAAGAAGCCCAGAACCTGTGAGGAGAGGGCCAGTGCAAACCTGCATCACCGCAGGTGCCATCAGAGCTCTCACAGAGCTGTAAACACTCTGACAGCAGAAGAAGCATCCCTAAGTTAGCCAGGATGCTAGGGAGGGCCTCCTGGAAGAGATGTCATTTGAGCTGTCTTGAGAAACACGAGAAGACCACACACTCACAATCCCCACAGACCCATGCATAGCCACAGGGGAGAGAACGTACATGTGCGCGCATGCGCACACACACGCTCCCCTAGAAGGATGGCCTGGAGAAAGTTCTTCCCCATTCACATACTGCCCCACACCCCAACACATGTACACTTGCACCAGGACTGAGGTCCTGCATCCTACATCCACCCTGAAGACGCTTTTTTCCTGAAAACCCAAGAGGCCCACTTTCAAGGGCTCTGCTTCCCAAGTGCAGGAGCTCTGGGGAATGCAAGTAAGAAGTGATGCCAGAAGGAAAAGCCTCATTACATGTCTGAGGATCTGCTGTGTGCTCTCTCCAACACAGGGTCCTTGAGGAGCTACCCAGAGCTGTTCTGTTACTAATGTTCGGGCTGCTTCCCAGATGTGCCTTGGGTTCTTTACACTCCTTTGAGACCCTTTGGAGCTCATTCATGAATTCATTCATTCAGCAGATGCCAGGTCCTATGCTGGGTGAAAACAGACCAGTGGACATGATTCCTAACCTCAAGAAACACCCAAATATTCACAAAGACTGGATCTTTTAGCAGCTGGTTATATCATGATGAACTAAGTATTATAATAGGGGTGTATGTGGTGGAGGAACACAGTAAGAACAGAAGGTATAGACAAGCACATAAGCCCAAATAAGAATCTTGAAGTAGTTGGGCAGGAAAGAGGAGCCAAAGAAGGGTGCTCCAAGCTAAGGAACAGCAAGTGCAAAGACCCAGAGGTGACAGAAAGCAAAATGTGCCTTCATAAAATTAAAAATACTCACAGGGAGGAGCCAGAGGTGAGATGGGGAAAAGGCAGAGGCAGGGCCACAATGAACCTCAGTTGGGATTTATCTTGAGGGCAACACGGAGTCATAGAGGAATGTAACCAGAGGAAGGATACAAATAGATCTGTATTTTAGAAAGGCCATTCTGGGCTGGCAGAATGAATAGGAAGGAATTAGACTTGAGCAGGAAGACTTGTCAGGGTTGCCCAGAGGAGACATGATGTGGTTTGAAGTGGGGTTGTGACTAGGGATGTGAGAGAAAACATAGGAGTGGAGAAGAGTTTTGCTATCCTTTGACAAAGGATAGGTGTTGACAGTACAGTGGAGAACCTTGTGGGTATAGTCCCTACCCTCACATAACTTAAAATCCCCTGGCAAAATAGCCATTAGACAAAGAACCAAAGGAATAAATAATGTAGTGTTATAAATGGTAAGAAATGCTTTAAGGAAACACAAAGGGTGCATGGAGAGATAACAAAGGGGCATGAGAAATAACCCCATGAAGAGGGAGGAAGCAGAGTTTCTTCACCAAGGGAACCAATGACAATTATGAAGAAGGCACCCATAGCCTCTAGGGTTAGAAAAAAGTGTCCCTTCTTTCCCGAGGACACTGCTCTGCACCAGGGTTCATTGCTAGGCAAACGGAGAGCAGGCTGGACTTCAGTCCCCACTCACATCTCAGCCAGGTGCCCTTGTTCTGCAAAGTTGTTGACAGAGCCTTGTGTGTGGAGGCCCTTAGGAAGTGAGGTGAAAGGCGTAGCCAGGGCTGACTTCAGGCTCTGGTTTGCTTTGCAGTGGGCGGTGGGGCCTCTGTAGAGATGGAGACCTCAGGGAAGAAGAGGCAGGTATGGGGACAGATTTAGTTCAGTACACTTCCAATGCAAGTGACAGAAAGTTCAAACTAGCTTAAGCCCCGGGGAGGGGGCAGGTATTGGAAAGACATGGGACAGGCCACATGTGGAAGCAGTGCCACAGCACCACAGCACCCATGGGCCTGGAGAACAGGGCCCAGAGCTGCTCGTACTCTGCCACGCATTCCTCCTCCTGTTTCTACTTGGCTTTACTCTCTCCTCACCCATAGTGCTTTTCTCCAGAAACTCAGGGATTACCTTAGATCTCACCATTAAACTCCAGTTAGAAAATTCCCGGGAAAGAGCTCTAACTGGACCAGCCGACATCATGAGTCAGGACTTGAACCCAGGCAGAGAGGTTCCAAACTGTCCTCTTAGGTGCTTTGCCCTGTAGCATCTGCAGAGGAAGTGGGGAGAGAGGAAGGGAAAGAAGTCAGGAAGGAAGTGGGCAGCTGGAGACTGGATCACCCCGTGGGTGATGGGATTTGAAGTCCCTTCCTGGCCAGTCCCTCACCTCAGTTCCCTGAGTGGTGAGGATGTCTAGCTGAGCCCAACTCCACTGGCAGCATAGATGACACATGCCTTGCTCTTGAGGCCATTTTTACCTGCTAAGGAAACACTGGGCCGTGCCCTCCATAGGGACACATGCGTATATCCCTACATGCGTGTGCTCATGCAACAGCACAGGTGTGTGTCAAGCACACTACCAGAGGCTGAGGGACCTTGAAGCTAATGAACTCTGAGTTTCAGGCCCCTTGCACAAGCCCCTCCTGAGGCCTGGGAAAGGCCTAGAAATATGTTAACATACTCTGGTTTCTTTTTTATTTTGCCAAAGTAAATTATTTTAGCCAATTGGTTATGATCACTCTTTCTATTCTGACTTCCCTCTTGTATTGGATGGCATTCATGGACATGCTGGGTCCAATCTGAAGGTATATATATTGTTTGTATTTAATTGAGTATGTTTTAAATAAGAAATATAGAACAAAAGCAATAATGATGAACAATGAAATAAAGTGATTCTGACATGGATAAGACAATTGTACCCCAAAATATATTTAGATCATATTGAAAAGCAGTTTATTTTTTTTAAAAAACACTGCTTCCCCTCACTTCCTCCTCTCATCACCTGATTACTTCTCATGTCCATTGTTACCTCTCAATGCATCCTTTGCTTTTCCTTAAAGCATTTCTCACCATTTGCAACTTTTGAATAGAATTATTAAGACTCTTGCATCGTTTGATAATCCAGTCAATGAATAAAGGGTGAATTACGTCAACACATGGGGAAAAGATTTAAATTTTTTGCTGGTCTCACACAATACTAACTTCAACAAAGACAGAATAAAAATAAAAAATGCTACTCTCACAAGACATCAACATCAACAAACTTTTTAATGAACACTGCCAATTTGAAAACATTGAAATTTAATTGCTATACAAGAAAATTCAAAATACTTGAACTTTTACAGTTCACAGATGAGAGAAACTTGATGGAGTTTTCTCCAACTCTGACACCAATCCTAAAATTGTACATGACATTTACAACAGAGTGGTGAACCTGAAAGAAGCTTTCTTAGATTATCAGTGAAACAAAACAAGTTCTGATCAACCATGTTGAGGAAAGACTGAATTACCTCTCAATTCTCTGCATGGAAAAAGATATTCTACAACCATTGTGACATGAAGAGGCAACTAAAAAATACGCAGCATGATGCAGTGGAGAGGCATGGACAGGCTGGAAAGGCAAGAAAAAAGAGCAAAAAGAAAAAGGCAAAAGGATAAGGAGATGAGGAGGGAGGTAACGATGAAAATGGTAACAGTGCTAATGATGAACCAGTTGGTTAACAGCTCAATTTTTCCTCATTTACAAAACACTTAAATCTTCTATACACGTCTATTATTAAAGGGAAAAAATTAAAATGTGAGGCTGTGTAATGTATGTTTTTATATCATTCAGGCTCATTTTTATATAATTTTTTTTTCAGGCAACATTTAACAGCAAGTTTTAATTCATATAAAACTTCCACAGTAGCAGGGGAGTGGGTCCCAGATCATGTCAGTGGCTACACAATTCCTAGGCTTAAATCCTGGCTGTGCCACTGACCAACCTGATATCTTGGGAAAGTGACTTAACCCATCTGGACTTGGGTTTTCTCTCTGCATAACAGATGATGAATTTAAAAGGTATATACCAGTTCTGAAATTTTTCAATAATTAAAGAATTAAATGATGGCTATAATCATTTAATTGAAACATTTCAGAGAAAGAAAAAGATAATTATATAGATCTTTTACTGATTAGAAAACTGGAACCATGACAAACTGAGCTTTATCTGGGCATTAGCAAATTATTTATAACTTCCTTGTTTATCAGTCTTTCTTGTACTTTTCCCAATTTCTTATTTACATATAATTCACACACTGCAAAATCTACCCTTTTAATGTGTCCAGTTCAGTGCTTTATACTATTTCAC